GCATTCACACTCACACCATACTCTCACATACTGAAGAAGGAAGTTTCTGTGCAGAAGCTTGAATAATTTATAGTTAAGATTTCTGAATTAGGTGTTTGGTCATGCAAGGTGCTACACTCTCTGTGAAGTGCATAGAACACATGGGTAGTCTACTGAAATCTACTGAAAATTAAGCACAAACTTAAGTGCCTTGTAGTGAACCATAGAACCATTCAGTGTGTGCGTCACTAATGGTTCTGGCTCAAGATATATGGATTAATGAAGTTAAGATTGAGAGTTTGTTATATATTTCAAGAAACTTATTAGACTCTTGAATTACAGGGAGGGAGGGAGGGCAACCCTTGTGGAAGAGTTGGAAAGACTTTTGCTTACTAGGATTCCATAAGACTGATGGGTGATTCCTGGTATATTTAAAGATGATGTTTGTATATCTGATGATTGTTTTTATTATGATTAATCTGTAATGTTTCTTCTTTAAGAATAAATGTGCTTGTTTAGAAAGAGTTGTGTGGTGGTTTTTAACTATTGGCAATACTCTGTTCATAGCCCTGGAATGAGGTGTAACAGTTAATTCGAACTAAGGACTTAGTTTGAATTACCGTTTCACTGCCGCGTGCAGCCGCAGGCAGTTACTTCGGGCTAGTGGAATTTCAAAATGGCGACTGGATGGGAACATGCAAATAAAGCCCGGGATATTTAAATCCCGGGCTTCATTTGCAATTTTGAATGCCTACATTAGCCTCCCTAGTTCGAACGAGGGGGCTAGTGTAGACATACCTGGAGATAGTAAGGATTGGTATCACAGAATTGCAGTTTTCCCTAAATGAAACAAGATTATTTCAAGCATTTAAAATGGGTACTTAGCTAAATCTGCTATTAAACTCCTTTTCCATTTTCTTGTCCATACGCATCTTGAGATTAAAATGTAATTTATGGGGTAGAGAATTCATTTTACAGTTCAAATAACTTGACAGGTACTCTGTTAGCATATCTAGAAGATTAGAATAGAGTTGCTGAATGTGTTTAGATGAGGCTGTATTTTACATGTCCATGCTTTCTGTTCCATAAATTTTCTGATTAGGATGTTTTAAAAAATATTGTTCTGTCAGTGATTTGTTCATATTAATGAATGCAAAATTATGGAGATGCTCTTGTAGCTCCATAGTTAAAGTTGCACTGGGATTTCCACTTTTAGCAACAACTAAATCCTTTTAAAATACTTTTACGGCTTCTGATTGGCTAATGTATCTCTGTTGTAAGAAGATTGAGATCTAGCATGTTGTATGGATTTGAGACATGTGTGATAACAAAAGATTCGAAGAGAACGATATTGGCATTTGAGAGGAGTTGTTATAGAAAAATTCTGAGAATAGGATGGATGCAGAAGGTTACTAATGAGGAATTATATAGGAAGATACAGCTGAAAGAGAACCTACTGCAGAAGGCTATACAACGGAAGTTACAGCTATTCAGGCATATCTGCAGAATGAATGACAAGCTGTTACCAGATTTGCCGAATACTCTGGGGTATGCTCATTTGTTAGGGTTACTCTTATGGGGAGGTTAACAATTCTATCAGTGTGCTGTTTGTGCTTACTTGTGCTCTCATATGGAGCTGAATCTCCCTTCTGCCAATTCCCCCTCCCATTAGAGCTCTCCTGCAGGAACTAGGTTCCTCAGGACAGGGTTTTTCCCACCTTAGCAACACACTCACACACACTAACAGAGCACGTCTGAGAGGACTGGGTATTCAGCACTCCCAAGCTGACCCCTCATACGCCTTTCGACTCAGCAGGCTAGTTTTAACAGCAATGCAACACTGCACCCTCATGTGCCTTTGGACTCAGTGGGCTGGATTAAGACCCTGGTATTCAGCATAATGGATAGTCCGAATAGGAGAGGCAGATCCCACAGAGAATTGGTAGATGATATAGTAGATTGGTGCGGAGCTAATGTATAGAAAATGTTGCCAGCAAGAGTGAGTCTCAGGTCCGATACGGGGTTCTCAAAGTACAAAAAAAGCTACACAGGTATCGGTCAAAAACAAGCAGTTTATTTCCTGACAGCTATCAGCTGTGCCCCTTAACTAAAACAACAACATGATACGAAAAGTGGCATTTCTTACATCCATTCTGCTAGCTGGGGAAGTGGGAGACTGTCTCAGCTTCTGAGGCACAGGTACCCAAAGCCCATCGGTGAGGTCCAAATTGCTGTGTTCTGGTGCAGCTTTAAATACTGTGTCTCTACCTTGTTTGTGGTTACTCATTACTTGTTACAGTATGGCTCAGATGTACTGCTTGTCCTTTGACTTTGTTTACATGATCAGTACATTTAGGTAAACAAGATTATGTTCCTGCCCTTATCTACAATTCGTTCTTGCTACAATGGCGTATGTTCCTAGAGCCTTGCTTCTGGCTTCTCAGTAGTAGAGAAGGGGGAGGGGAATAGCAAAAAGGGGGCGGGAGTGCAGGCCTTACCAACCCTATACTTCACATGTACAGAGTTCTTCTGCAATTGACCCTACAGAAACTAAGCCACTCTGCAATGGACAGAGAAAGATGGAAGGAAATAGCAAGGGAGGCATCAGACGCCAACAGGCATGGTGGATGATGATGATGATGATGATGAAGTGGGCAAGGAGGGAATCACTTTTCAAAAAAGGAGTCTTCTAAAAATCATTACTTTCAGAAATTTACAGAAAGGAGTCTCATGGTTCTGTGGGACCCTTTCACTAAAGAATGTGAGCAAGTAGCTGTCTCAAAATTGAGACCCAACTAAACAACATCTGATCTGAGACCCAACTAAACAACATCACATTGTTACATTATGTCAATAATATAAATGTGGTCAAGGATATTTATTTTGCACCCTAGCTGATACTGGATTTTTTTTTAGCATTGGGAACTTCCAGTCCTATATTCTATATTATGGTACTCTAGAAACAGCATTTAGCGGTCCTGTGGTATGATTCACTGCTTACAGAAGGTGAAATACAGAAAGGAAGGGAAAAGTGAGACGGTATCTGATGGGCCTCAGTGACTGAAATTAAATGTTTAATGTTGGGGAAGCAGCTAAGACTTCCATTCAGGCTTTCCTAAATGCTTTCTTAGCACTACTACCCCAGTGTGACCCACTCCCCTGCAGAGTCCTGTTTTGGCAGAGATGAGAAGCAGGCCTCTCTACAACTAAGAACATGATCTTTTAGTAGCCTGACAAGCTGGCTTAGTAGGAGAGATTTCTGACCTGCCTGCAAGAGCTATTCTCTCACTTCCCTTGCTTGCTTCTTCTGACTATTTGTTCCAAGTAAGGAGAGAGGGGGCAGTTCTACTTGCAGGTGGATTGCATGGAGCTATATACTCTACTCCTAACCCAGCTTGTCCATCTGATAAAGATCCTGTTTTGGCTTGCTGGGGATACAGTGCTGAAGGAAATCAGTGTTCACTGACACCAAACTTTGTCTTATCACTGGGTTCGCTTTCTTAGTACAGGCAGTCCCCGAGTTACGCGGATCCGACTTATGTCGGATCCGCAGTTACGAACGGGGCACTTCCTCTCCCTGGTCTCTAGCAGACCAGGGAGAGGAAGCAAAGTGGCGGCGGAACGCGCGGCCAGCTGACAGCCCAGACGCGTCTGGGCTGTCCCGCTGCCCCCGTGCTCCGCGGCTTTGCTCCGGACGCCTGTGGTACAGCAGCT